CCCCCCCCCACCCCGCATCGCTCGAGGTTACATCGGCCCTTCCAGTCCTCCCTGTCTTGTCTCTGTCTATTGACCGCTAGTGTCTCACTCCCAATGGACACATAATAACGGTTTATGAGGAGGAGGGGTAAATGAGTAAATTTACATTACTAAGGGAACGTGTGACAACCATTTCAGTTCCGAAATACTTGAGTATTGGTGCTTTACAGAGCTCAGATGACAGTCCTCTCACCAAACAGGTGTCACCTCGGGACAATGAGCTGTGGCTGGCGGATGACGTGCCACTCAACCTCCTCACCCTCCCTTTCATTAGCAGCTGCCAGCCTCACTAATAAACATGAGGGATTAGAGCCCTGAATGGCCAACTAAAAGCCATGCGCTCCCAACACACACACACACACACACACACACACACACACACACACACACACACACTCACACACACGGATTGATCGCAGACACCTACTAGTCCTGATGTTTCTACAGTTACTCCATCCCTCCGGTCTGAAAATATCCTTGTGAAATGTGTCTGCCACCAGGAAAGGATGGCTTACTCCGGTTGTCATGGAGACCAGAATGTCATCAAAAACGTTCTCCTTGACGTTAGCTTTCTATGGAAACCAGGAAGTACAAATGTATCCTCAGAGGCACAGTGTTGATCTCGATCTCAGTCAGTTACACCCCGCCCCATCCAAAGCATGAATGAATGAATGACGTGCCAGGGACCTTGCTCAAAATCCTCCACGGAATAGGCGTTGGGGGCAGGGGGACGGTCACAAAATGAGCCCCTTCCCTATGGGGGAAGGCAAGTAAAAGGATAACAGCATCTGTTCCCCCTCGAGACACACAGGCTCAGGATGCAGGTCCCATGAAGGATCACCCTCCACGCTGCTAGAACACACAGGGCCAGGGACATTTGTGCAGGTGGGATTAGGGACCCTTGCTCACTTCAAAATGACCTGCAGAGGAGAAAGCCTGTGAGGATAAGGCACCCGCAGGCCAGAGGAAGGCAAAGCCAAACCTCAGGCTGTGGCAGGAACAAAGGACCCTGGGTCTACACTTGGGTTGGCAGCACACAAAGGTGCCTGTGAAGAAAAATGACCCCACAAAGTACCCGTGACCTGGGACGGTAGGCGAGTAGAGATGACCTGTCACATGTGCTCGGCATGTACTGCTCAAACCACAGGCCAATGCTCAATATGCTCAGAGGCAGGTGTCTTACCACCAGGTACACAGCACACATGTCCTGTCTCACAGCCAGCCACTCCTAGCACAGAGACGGAGCTGCCCTCTGACGCAGCTCTTCCTCCTGCTGAGGAGCTAGAGCCGACCCTGCCGTGGTCAGTCCTGGGCAGTGATGCGCTCCACACGGGCCCTCGGGGGTGGTGGGGAGAGGTGCGGTTCTGATTTCCAGGGTTTTCCCATTTCCGTGGTGAAAATACTCCCCTCACGGCCGATTTCAGGTCCCCAACGTCAGGTCCCTGAGTGCTGAGTTGGCAGGGGGTACCCAGAATCAGCTCTCATGAGATGAAGCCCGAGACAGCCCAGCACAGCACGGGACCGGAGACTCCAGTCTAGAGCAAGCACAGCCATGCCAGTCCACGGGCCACAAGGAAGGGCCAAGCCAGACTCCATTTATACCTGCGCGCCAGCTGAATGAAGGGTTCCACCAGGTTCTTAGTGTGGAGGAAACACGGATACCTCTCCAGACCTACCATCTGGCCTATCTACTTCCTCAGGCAGGGCAAACAGTGGGCTGCATTCACCGAGATCTTTTCAAATCAGAGACTTTCTGAAAGACAGATGTTGGTCTGACTCTGAGCTCTGCCGCTCACCAGCCTTGTGACTTTCACAATGTGCCCCAGCGACTCTGTTCCCTAGCTTCCACTTTGGTCAAATAAACTGTTAATGGAGCTACCCTCAAAGGGTTGATTAAAGATCACCAAAGAAAACTGATCTTGAGCAGCTCCTAAATGGTCAGTTCAGGAACCCCGTTGGGGGATCAGCGAGGTCTTCCTTTCCCAACTTGGTATCTGTGAGTCCAGATGGCCTCACACACTTCATCAGTACACAAGACACATTGCAAGAGGTTGAATGAGGAAGCAGGTAGGAAAATCCAGCTCTTTCCGCTTCTGGCACACATTAAAGAGACTTGCCAAAATGTCAAACAATGTCACGCTTTTCAACATTTGCTTTGTTTTCAAAAGATAGATTTATTTTTCACATACTATATTTATACGTAAGCATCAATGGGCTAAATACTATTTTTAAGTGAAAAAATTAAAAAATTGATTGCTTAGGTTTTTTTCAAAACACTCGACGATTCCATTACATTGGTCTAACAACTGTTATGTGTCTTAAATTAAACATTGTTTATTGAAGTGAAATTCGCATAATATGAAATGAACCATTCATTTAAAGCATAGCACTCAGAGGCATTAAGGAAATTCAGAATATTGTGCAATCATCACCTCTGTCTACTTACCCAACATTTGCACCCATCCCAAAGGAAGCCCTGTGCCCACCCAGCAGTCACTCCTGAGTCCTACCTTCCCACAGTCCCCGGCAACCACCAATCTGGATACTTGGGTTGTTTCCATCTTTTGCTGTTGTGAGTAGGCATGCCAAGAACATTCGTGCACATGTATTTTTTGAGTACCTGTTTGTAATTTATTGAGGTATATAATGAGGAGTGGAATGACTTTGTCATGTGTTAACTATATACTTAACTTTTTGAGGACTCACCAATCTGCTTTCCACACTGGCTGTACTCCTTTAAATTCCCACCAGCAATGTACAAACAAGGCTTCCAATTTCTCTACATTCTCAACAACAATTATTATTTTTCTTTTTACTTTTAGAAATTATAGACATGGTAATTGAGGGTAACTACTATTCCTGATATTGATTTGCATTTCCCTAATGACTAGTGACGGTGAGCATATGAGCATGTGATCGTCAGCCATTTGTGTATCTTCTTTGGAGCAATGTGTAGTCAGATCCTTTACCCACTCTCATTGGTTTTTCTTAGTGTCCTTTGCTTTGGAATTGTCAGAGTTCTTTATATATTCTGTATACTAGACGCTCACCAGATATGTATATCACTTGCCTTCATTTCTTCCCATTCTCTAGGGTATCTTTTCTTTCTCTTGATAATGTCACTTGAGGCACAAACTGTTTTAAAATACTCAAATTGATGACGTCAGAAAGCAAGGTGGTGGCTGCCAGGGGATGGGGAGGAGGGAATGGAGACTTAGTGTTTCATGGGTACAGAGTTTCCATTAGCCAAGGTGGAAAAGTTCTGCTGAAGGTTGGTGGTGATGGTGGCACAAGAATCAGAATATACTTAGTGCTAATTAAACACACCCTTAAAAATGGTAACTTGTATTTTATCTATATCTTATTACAATAAAAAAGCACCAGAAAGCACAAGCGTAAATATTGTTATTCAGCATATATAAAGCACTTCAAAAATCTGTAAGAAAGTCATCCAAAGCAATTGAAAACACTCAAGACACTCACAAAGTTATTTCAATGCAAAGCAAAAGCAAATGGCCAATATGAAAGAACTCAATTGGAGAAACACAAAGGAAGACCCCACATAAATGTTAATTTACACTCACTAAAATGGCAGCCTTAAGAAATCTACTAAAGCAAGTGTTGGTGGTGAGTGTACCTAACAACGGGAACTCAATCTACCCTTGGGGCTGTAACTTGGAAACAATAGGGAAATAGGGAATGTTCCCCCAGCCCATGATTGAGCAACTGCACTCCATCATACTTTGTAAAGCCTTGGGAACCTATGCCAGACATTAGAGTACTCAAAGCATCATTGCTTAGAAAGGGTCTAAACTGCAAACAATCGAGACGTCCATGGGCAAAAATTGGATGCATATTTTGTGGACTGGCCCCACAACGGTACAGGATCCAGTAGGGAAAGCGAAAGCCCTATGTCTACAGGGAGCGGACATTCGCTCTCAACGAGAGCAGCCCAGGCACTGCAAGAGCCCTGCCCAGAGGTCAACAGGCCAGGAACCGCCCCATGCCAGGTGGAGGAGCCCCAGGGTGGTCCACACCAGGGCAGGGGAAGGAAAGCAGGCTCTGTAGGGGACACACTGTAGAGTCAGCCAGCAAGTGGCGGAATCCTACCTAGAACAGGAGACCATCCCAGCGAGGTCCGGACGCGTGGGACACCAAGCCATGGCGGGTAAGGGTACAGGCTCTTGTGCAGAAAGCACACAGCCATGGGAGCGGGTGACTGAGCCACCATCTTCAGGGTGATGGATGCTCCTCGAGCAGGGCCAGGGCCGGTTGGAAGGAGCCCAGAGGCAAGGCACTGGGGAGAGGCCCTTTCGCCTGCCTCACGGCCCCTAGTGTCCGTCGTCGCTGCCCAGGACCAGGACCTGCTGAGCCCTTGCTCAGGGTCCAGCTACACTGAGCAGTCCCGCAGGTGGACGGCTTCCCGGCAGGGGGCGTGGCTCTTCGCGGCTCGACCTCCCGAAGGCGTGCATGCCGGCCAATCAGCGAAGCCGGCTGCTATCGCGTGGACGCAGGCCCTTGGAGGAGCGTCGTCGCGGTACCGGGGTCGCCCTCGTCCTCTGAGGGGGCACTGTTGGCATCCGTCAGGTGAGGCGCGACTGGGTGGAGGGGCGGGGAAGGTATGCCCCGTGGCCCTTGGGGACGTGGGTGCGGAGCCCGGCAGGGCCGGAGCTGACTTCTGACAAAATGTCTCCAGTGTCGCCTGGGACCCGGATCAGGGCGAGGCCCCTGAGGGTGGGCCGGGGGAGGGCCTGAGGGTCTCCAGGTCCTCTGAGGCTCCCTCTCCCAGCCGGGAGCTGTCCCTCCTGCCTGGCTACGGTCATGACCCGACACTCGGGTCCCGTGGGGTCGCCCTGGTGTCCGAGATGGCGAGTGGGCAGTGCCCGCACCTGAGTGTCCCGAACAGGTGCAGATCGGTTCATTTCCCATCCAGAGGGCTGGAAGGATACGGAGTCACTCCATGGTCAGTGCCCCTCAGACTGACTGGCAGACAGGGCGTTCCTGGGGCCCCACTTTGGCCCAAGGGCGCGGTGAGGGGCAGGCAGAGGGGACTGAAGTGCGGAGCAGGGACGCGCTGTGTGGCCACAGCCCGGATTGGACGGGAACAGGTGCTGGCACCATCTTCCTCGTCCCCTCCTGCTGTGACAAGAGGCACAAGGGCCCGCCAGCCCCACCCTTGTTGAACCCGAAGAGCCTCGCCCTCACCCGCGGGTTCTCACTTAACCAGTCCCCGTTTCTGTAGTGTGTCTTTGTGCTCACAAGGGTCAGGAGTCATCTCTAGCGTCCGAAGACAGCCAGCCATGGCACTCCCGGGAAGGAAGCACATCGGGAGGGCTGCCAAGGACCTGCTGGAGGCTCAGGTTATGGCAGCCTATGACGTTCAGTATGGAGGTAAAAGCGCACCAAGAGGTGAGGGGCAAGGGGCGAGGGGCGAGGGCATGGTCTGTCTCATCTCTTGGCAGGCTGAGCACGTGGGTGGCCCGGGGCCCGGTCGTTGCTTTGGATTCCGCGATGCAAATGCCCCAGAGCCCTAGGTTTTTTCTAAAGCAGGTTCATGCTCCCACCCCATAACAGAGTTACAGAAGCTCTTAGCCCAGCTCTTGTGGACTGGTGCAGCCCTTGCCTCCAACGTGTCTGATAGGCAGTACACGGTTTGCTGTGCCTGTAACCCCCAAAGGCTTGCAGAAGGGCCTCGCCTCGGTGAAATGGTCTGGGACCCTGGCCTCACTTGACGCGACCTGCACCTAAATGGTTCCACCTGTAGGTCTGCTTTGCATCTCTTTGGTGGCCAAGAGCCCAGGAATTCCACCAATACCACATGCCTCCTGCGTCCTTCCTTTAAACATCTTTGTCTTTCTTGCTTTCAATGCAGCAAACAATCCAGGAATTGGTGACGGTGGAGAAAACAGCCCCTTTTCAGGCACACCTCAGCAAGATGTGCGGTAACGTGTTTAGAGTCATTTTTGTCTGGTAGTAAAGTAACTAAGGAAAATCAGCTTCCACTCATGTGGCACATGTTGTATGTAAAGCACTTGGCAGAAGACATTTCTTCTAATGCACACATGGCATTTCACTGACCAACAATGTAAAAGTGAATGTAATTTCTTCACAGGAATGAGTTACAGAATATGCTGGAGAGATTTGAAGGTATGTTTTAGGAGATATTTGTAGGTGTAGACACTTTTCATAAGCCATATAACTTTTGCAGCAGGAACTGTCAATCAGTGTGTGGCACTGCTGTTATTTACTGCCTTGTTCTCAGGTACAGGATGTTACATAAGTCTTGAGTGTGATTCAGCTCCATAGATTACTTACCCCTTTGAATTGTGGATGTGAAGAGAATGGTACTAACAATGGTACCATCACTGGTGAGAGAGATGCTTTTATTTGATGCACTGTGGAATACTGGAAGAAATTGATGAAATAATCTCTTCCACATTGTACCACATGGCGAGTCATAGATCCAGTTTTAACGGCAATGTTTCATTTCCCCGTGTCGGTTATTTCCTTTAACTTCCCAATTTCTTTTCCTTGGGTGGCAGCAGTGCCGGTGGAGACCTCTGAAATATCTGCTTATCATTATATTTACCTTAATAACCCCTGTAGTGGAGAACAAAACACAACATGGCTACCAATGGAGTGATGTATGATCAGAGTCAATGGCAAGTTTTAAATGAACATGTCAGATATCAGTTACCTTAACTGTGTTAAAGGACATAGTCTTAAGTGTCAGAGTCAATTTTTGACTCCTCTGTGTGGATAATTCATACAAACAGGCACGTTTTGATAACGTTGCTCAATTTGGTTGTGACAATGTGCTTGATTTATGAGCTGTCTTATAATTTCATTAATGTACATGATAAACTATATTTACAAAGTATTTGTAGAATGATGCAGTCCATTCATGATTACTGGAAAATAAGTATTGATGGTAGATCTGTAACAGAGAGTCAGTCATAGGCTTAGCAAAGCATTATTTGAAGTATTCAAAATGTTTATAATTTCAGTAAATTTGAGTTTTACAAAATGCAACCTTTTGATGACAATGATATGCAAAAACCTCCATGAAATGATGCGGAAACTGTTCTTGAATAAATTTTCTCATTTCCTTGTCTTTTAGTCTAATTTATTTAAAAGGGTCACTGGCTAAATTAAATTTTGTATTTATTTTTCATGAAATTATCTGTATCTTTTTGAAGCCCTGTTAATTGGAATCATTTTCTGTGTTTCATGTAACAAGTTCTAACAATCATTCATGTAACTCTGTCCTTTCAGTTGGGGAATATTTCATAAAATGTTACAAACCAGCCTTTGTAGCTGTTATCTCATGACAAAATAAAGGGGTCAGTGTCTCCCTTTTCTCACATTTTGGAAAACAGAAACTTTCGATCTTTAGCTGTATTTTCATCCTAAATTAAAAAGTGATGTGCCGTTAAGGCATGCTGAATTAAAGGAGTAGTAGCTGGAAGCTTTCACAAAAGAGAGAGAGAGAGAGAGAGAGAGAGAGAGAGAGAGAGAGAGAGAGAGAAGGAAGCAAAGTATCTTGCTTTTTGAAATCATGCCTATTGATTAATGCTAAGTGTCTTTCCAATACTGCTGAACCAACATTGCCCGAATTGACTTGAACATGTGGGAGGAGAATAGTTTCCAAGAGTATATTTCAATGGGTATCTATTTGCAATGCAGGGGACATGAACAAGGTTCTTTATGCAAAGAGAAAACGTTTCAAAATGAATACCGATGCTTCTGTCAACACCATGCAGCAGACAATTGCGCATGCTTGGAAAACCCATCAAGAGCAAAGGTAAGGTTTTTGGAAATTTAGAGCAAAACCATTTGTCTCATTTCTTAGCATTCTTCATGAGTAGAAACTACGTAAGAAACATACTACGTGTTCTATTTCGAGGATGCTCAAGTTGAAAATATATCTGGCTTGATTTTCCTCTAAGGAATTAATTCCTTTAGTCCTCTGACATCACCCCATAATGGAAATGAGATGTATTTCCTCAAGGTCAATAAAGATGACCTATTTTGCTCTTGCCAATCACAGTTGATGTGCTTACCCTAAAGAAGTTTTTATTCCTTCCATGAATGTGCTTCCTGAATTAAGAGTTAAGTGTCTCAACACTTAAGACTGTGCTCAAGCATATAAAGAAAGGTTAGTCTTATGTTGTAAATAATTTGTAAGTTTTACTGAATTAGTCTCACTACTTTTTCTGTACAAAATCATTCCTGTGACAACATGGGGAAAAATGAAGTGCTTCTGGTGAGAGATCACATGATAAATGGGTACAATATCCTCATGGAATTTATTTGTGACATCACAACCTACGTGTTATTCAGAAAGAGAAAAGGAAAAAAGAAAGCCATGTCGATAAAATACGTTTTCCTGGAAAATTTATAACACAATAAATCTTCCATGGTTTTGAAGAGCTAAGGTATGTGAGGTAGCTTCTCTCTTAGCCAGTAACAAACAAATGTTCTTGTCATGAGAGTGAATCCTCCGTTTTATATTCCCATCAGAGGACTGCAGCTGATGACATCACCTTCTCCCTTCACGGCATAAGTCGTGACGAAATAATTTTGTTTTGAAAGTGTTTTACCTTTTTGTTATTGGTAGGAAGTGTCACAGAATCCATTATTCTGTGCTGCAGGCAGAAGCTTTGTCTGGAGTATTCTCAGCGGTTGCGGGCTTTGATTCGGGAGTTGGATCTGGCTATGAAGAAACTCAAAGAAGAGGAAGAAAAACTAGCTGTTGGTATCAGGCTTAGCTTTCTAATTAATCGGTCCCTTGTCTCAAGCTGTCAGGGAGCAATAATTCATGCAAAACTTCCAGGAGAGAAGGTAGAATCCATGAGTACAGATGGACGAGGTGGGTGGGAGGTGTGGTGACGGGAGCCTGGACGTCCTCTTTGGACTGGTCCTGTCCCTTTAGAGAGACAGTAAGGTCCTCAGTTAGAGGTAGGGGCAGGAGAGGAGGTGTTGCCTTTAGGGCAGGGGAGAAGGCCTGGAATTGTTTCCTGAGAGTGGGCCAGTGAATGGACCAGGGGAATGTAAATGCCAAGTGGCATTAGGGGGTCCATCTTAGGTTAGTGTCATAGCGATCATGAATTTACAATGAGACCAGTCAGCTTGGTTGAGTCAGAGCAGCTGTGGAATTGGCTTTTTCTGGGCTGGGCTTTAGCTGAGCATGTTACCCGAGAGAGAGGTGTGGGGTATAGCAGCAAGGACAGAGGTATGATGACTGACCGTGGAATTGAAGCTGGAACTGAGGAAAGTGAGGACGTGGGAGTGGGGTGTTGGACAGTGAAAAGCACTCTACCCAGTGGGTGTTAGGTCCTATGGGCTACTAGGCTGTAGTACTGAAGTGACTGACCTGCAAAGGGTGGGAAGTAGTGGCTGGATGTTGGGAAAAATGGAGAAACAGTACAGTACAGTGGTCCAGAGTGTGGCCTCTCGAACCGCACTGATTGAGGTCCAACTTTGATTTCACCATTGGTAACTGTGAAGCCTGAGCACGTTCTTTCTGTGCCTCAATTCCCTCAGCTATGGTGGGGACATGATAAGAGAACCTCTGTCGTGGAGTTGCTTTGAGCATCAAGTGAGCTACTACATAATAAGTTTGTTTAACGTGCTTCAGAAGTATATCCACGACGTGGTTCCTATGTAAGAGATTTTGGTATCTTTTATATTGTGTCGATGTTGCAGTTATTGGGACTGACCAAATGTAGGGTGTGACCTTGAGAGTGGCTAAGTTCAGAGGTGTGTTCTGTGGAGGAACATAAAGTCCAGCATTGTTGAAAAGAGCATGTGTGTGCATTTTGAAATCATCAAGAATAAAATATATGTACATACTGTTGTTGAAAGAGAAAATTTTCTCTTCTGCTGAAATTTAATATAGAATTATTTTTTCCCCGAATCTTAAATTTTACTCAAAGCACTATTACAACTTTTCCCTTTTACACTTGCAGAGTATACTTCTACAGCTACAAAAGGCTTGCGAATACTCTAGGATTGTTCAGAGCCGGAGAATGAGACAATTTAAAGTGTTACATGTGGAATTCCTAAAGGTCTGTTGTATTTGGCAACGCAATATATCTTTCATAACACATAATTTGTATATTTAAGATAAAAATACTGTTTTTCTTTGCAAACTCATATTAACATTGTGATTGTATCTTTAAAATCCTTTTTAAAAAATTTATTCAGGATATTATGGGGATACAAACATTTTGGTTACGTGTAATGCTGTTTGCCTCGCCCAAGCCGAACAACCCAGATGCCCATCGATACATGAGTGGATTAGTAAAATGTGGTATATGCATAGCATGGAGTACTGCTCAACTACAAAAAAACATTGGTGATCTAGCACCTCTTACATTATTCTGGATAGAGATTGAGCCCATTCTTCAACGTGAGGTATCACAAGGATGGAAAAACATGCACCACATGTCCTTCCTCTCTTTAAAATTCTTAAGCATTTTCCACTTTGATATCATTGGTCCCGTTTTAAGAAAAGTAGTACAGGTAGTTTTTACTTTTTGGATTTATTGGTGGTAGTGGGTGATAGTCATGACAGGAAATGGTAAGTCAGCAGTTTTACCCAAAACATGCATATGGTGCAGGAAATTCATAGATTACTAAGAGTCATCATGGCTCTTTGTTCCACAATCAGTCTTGTAGCAGAGTAGCTATAGATGAATGTGGGAGGAGTAGGTCATTTGTACATGTCACTTCATTGTCTGTCTACTGCCAATGTTTCTCAAAGAGCAACGACCCAATTGTAAGGAATGAGTATTTCTTTTATTTCAAGCTGATTTCCTGAGTAGTTCATGGCGTATTTGCTTTCAGTATTATTGATGCGACGACAAATTGCTTTTAATTTTTTTGTGGGTACCTAATAGTTGTCTATATTTATGAGGTACATGTGACGTTTTGATACAGGTATGCAATGTGCAGTCATCAAATCAGGGTAACTGGGCTACCCATCACCTCAAGCATTTCTCGTTTCTCTGTGTTAGGAGCATTCCAATTTCACCCTTTTAAATCGTTAATTTAAAATATACGATAACTTGTTGTTGACTGTAGTCGCCCTGTTGTGCTGTCTTATGCTAGTTTTGTGCATCCTGTCTAACTATATAATTGCACCCGTTAGCCGTTCCCACTGTATCCCCGCTCTCTGCTACCCTTCCCAGCCTGTAGTACTATCATTCTACTCTCTATCACCATGAGATCGATTGTTTTAATGTTTAGCTCCCACATCGGAGTGAGACCATGGGAAGTCTGTCTTTCACTGCTTGGCTTATTTCACTTAACATAATGTTCTCCAGTTCCATCCGTGTTGCTGCAAATGACAGGATTTCATTCTTTGTATGGCTGAATAATATTCCATTGTGTGTATGTACCACATTTCCTCTATCCATTCATCAGTTGATGGGCACTTAGGTTGATCCCAAATCTTGGCTATTGTGCCTAGTGCTGCAGAGTGCAGATGTCTTTTCCATACACTGATTTCATTTCTTTGGATATATACCTAGCAGTAGGATGGCTGGGTCATGCGATAGCTCCATTTTTAGTTTATTGTCGTAACATATAACCCTTAACTCTTCCCGGCCTGCCAGTAGCTTCCCCTCCTGAATTCTTAGACATTGACAGACCAAGCCCCCATTAGATGACCCCTTTTGAAAGCTTTGTTGGCTGCGTTCTTTCTTTCCACCCCCAGGTAGACATCCCTCTCTGACACAGCTCACCATCACCCTGTGCTTTCCTGTGCTCTCTTCACAGTAGCTACAACTTTTTTTCTTTTCCTATAGAAATCTCATGCTTTTTCCAACTAAGCAGGTATTAACCTCCCCTTTTTTACTGCATAATTCCAGCAAGTTGACCTTCCACTCCTATTATGCAACTTTTATATGATTTCTATTTATGGGTTTGCTCCTGACCCTGGAATATGGAAGAGATCATGTATTTATCTTTTAATCCCTCCACAGCACTTGACATACTTAGTTTTACATAGGATGCACTATTTTGCTGTTTGGGAAATGAAGAGTAATGATTTAAATCACGTTTTTTTAAATAAGTTGAAGAGGTCATACTATAGGTCACAATAGTCCCTTTAAGGAAATCATGTTCTGTTGGCCATTAGGGATGATAAATGTTTTAATACCCAGTGTTTTGAAAAGTTACTCATGGATTTCACAATTATGGCATTGATCGATAGGGAACTTAGCTCTTTTTCTGTTCCTTGCTCTACCTTGGCCTCAAAAGTTCATTGTCTTATTATTTCAAGCCAAGTGTGTTATTGTTGTACCTCTTATTATAATAACATTTCGCTCAGGTCACACATTTCTATGTTTATGCAATGGGTATTTTCGTGTTCATGCAGTACTCAGTATGTTTTTTATTTGAAATAAATAATGGCCATCATTTGAATTTTAAACTTTACTTCTTTTGAAATGTATCTGTACGTATTTATAACGTAATGAATTGTGGTGGTTTAGAAGTGAACTAGGCTTGTTGTTTTAGAGTGTTGAGGACCTGGAGGAGGATCATGGAAATCTTGTTGGTGAAGGAAGTGAACTCAGAAAAGAATTGGCCGTGTTGCACACAAAACTGATGATGCAAACTGTAAGTAATGTCTATTTGAAACTGAAAACTAAGGATTTGGTTAAGCAGTATTGTATTGGCTGAATATTTCATAATACACAAATATTAAACAAATGATTAATATCTCTTCCTGTAACAGCAGCGGGAAGAAGTGGCCTGTGTTCAGTTGATTCTACAATCCCTGTTATTCTGATGACACTTTGAAGAACAAAGCTGAACCTATGTGATACAATACAGTCATAAAATTAGCTACATGAAGCCAATGTGGCTTAAAATTTCTAGTTTCAATTATTACATGTTCTTTGTTCATGTGTTTGTTCAGTGCCAGACTCCCTTTCTGTTAAAACTCAAATAAAAGCTAAAGAGTTTTATGAGTAGCAGACATTCCAAAGTTGTATGTTTCAGGCTTTCAACCCGTTGATAGTACTGGGGACTTTGTTTCCCTAGCACCGTCAACTAACTTTTAGCAATAAAAATGATTCAACTTTAGGTTTGGCCTCAGTGGATCTGTGTCAGTCTCAAGTAGTAGAAATCACAGGCATGGAAGGTTACATTGTTCTTCCTTAGGAAAAAAGTTAAAGAAGATAAAATATATTTTATGTACACACTTTCGTGCAAAATTAGTAAGTTACAAAACCAATTCTAATGTCATAAAATTCCAGAGGAAATATGTTCTATGGATTTACAGGACTTAATAAAAGCAATACAAGTTTGTGCCCCAGAATAATAAGTTAAACTGCTAAAAATCATTAAGACCACAGAATAAGATATACAAATATCACTTGTGAGACATAGATTTCTAAAAATGTCACTTTCATAAAAAAATCAAAACTTCATTTAATTGATTTGTGTCCGCTATTATTAATAAATGACACCTGTCCCTAGAATGAGTAAAAGTATTTCATTAATGTATATATACTTAATTACCTATGGTTCAATATTTCATACCTTTCTGTAGAGACAGAATTTTTTAAAAGTGTAATGTTAAGTTAGCATATGCAAAGTTGATTTTATATTCATCTAAATATGAGAAAAATTAATTCTCTCCCTTTTTCTGTTATACTGTGATTGATTGTTTTACATATAAAACACGAAATCTTCAATTGTACAGATTGGGTTTAATGAACCCGAAGTTGTTTCAGAATTTGATGTGAATAAGTCAGTGAAATTAGATCTTTTGCTGAGTTACTCAAATTGTTTTACATGCCATTCAAAAATCCACTCCCACTTAGAAAGAGGAGTGACATTCTTTCGTGTTTCCGCATGTTGACAATTTTTATTCTGGCCCCTGAACACATTCTTCACTTTGTTTAAATTTTTTCCTAATTTTTAAAAATAAGTGCACTCATATTCTATTTTCCATACTCTGATATCTTATATAGGAAGAAGTGAGGCCTCCACCATGAATAAATATTTAATACTCAGGGTCAATTTACTTCCTGATTTTTTGTGAAAGATTTTCCCCTTAATCTAAAGTATGTGTTGGAATATATGTCTTTAGTATGATGTCAAAGTTCTAAGACGTTCCTCATTTGAGAACTTTTGCCAATAGGTACAGATGTGAAATAAATACTCCAGGATGTTTTCTGTGCATTTAATTCTCATGAGTATATTCTTTTACCTTTAAGGAATACAAACCCTCACTATATAGTCTCTGAGTTTTCTGATTATTTCATTATGTATCATATATGCTTACTCTACACCTAGGAGTCAGTGTACGTGAACACAACCTTCATTCACATCGCAGTCTCACAGTGTCCGTGGAGCACAGGCAGCTGACCATTTATCCTGTGATGGCACCACAGAGGAAAGCCATCCATTGGATGAGGAGTTGGCAGCCCCGTGTGAGAGGATCAAGTCCTTTATTTACACCAGGAATCATCAATTAAAAGAATGCCTTACTACCAATTGTGTGAGACTTTAGCAGAGACAAACTCAGACATTGGGGTGTAAAGGCAAGAAGGCTTTGCAAACACAGTGGTTGATGACTTCCTGTAGCTCTTTCATGGCAGAAGGACCATTAATCCGTGGATTGAAGGTGACACGACACTGGGGCCCCAGGGAATACAGCAGAAAGCATCATGTTGTCACATTGCATCTATCATGCAACACACTGGGGACCTGAGGAAGGGTATGCTATAGCTCATGGCCTAGAGGAGAGTCCAGAGCAGGGCTGTGCTCTTCAAACTCTCACAGGGCCTAAGGTTACACACGAAGGTGATACGGTGCCACCGAGGTTTGACTCCACTTTTTATACACCTGATGTTTTTCACTAGTGACCAGCTAACAAATACCCATGAGATTTCTTCTATGCAAAATTTGCTGTGTCGAAATCTATCAACATTTGAATGGCCAGGTTAATATTTTGTGCAGATATCTAAATTAAGCTCATCCGTCTGAAGCTGCAAACACCTTCATCACTGCTTAGGAGGAGCTCGAGGTTGCCCTGGCATCTGTGCACACGCCCCCTTTATTGCACTCAGACTGCAAATGCTCTGAGATGTAAGGTTGAACCAGGCAGCCAGTTGCATTTTTGGCCGGAAGAATGAGGATCCTCTCAGTGCTGGTCATCCAAAACACATTGACACCAATTAGGTAGTAAGGCTTCTCAATCTGGAACCCTCAATGCATACGTCTGTCCCTTAAAACAGATTTGTTCTCATTTCATTGTAAAACAGAATGATGCCATTATCTACATCACAGGATTATCCTGAGGGTCAGTGTGGCAGAAATGGGAGGCATCAGGCTCCTGTCTCCCCAGTCTTCCTCCTCACACCAGGCCATGCAGCTGGGAGTCACTGAGCCAGGCCTGTGACCTCAGAATGGCTTGTGTCTTCCTAAGATTTCCTAGTATGCTAAGCTTGAATTGAACAGTGACCTTCTAAGAACCAACTTCTATCGAAATACTGGGAGGTCCCCAACCAAGCAGACAGCAAAAACACTCCTCAAGGTAAGAATCTCCACCTCCTGTAGTATAGAGAATATGCAAATTAGCAACTTTCTGTCCTGATCTTGTGTTACAAGTTTCAAGTGTAGCATATCATGCGCATTTGTTTAAATATTTAATGTATCAGAAAAATTTTGACCTGCACAAGGTACCAACTGACATGTTTAATATTTTGTGAGGAAAATGGGATCATTTACTTCTAAGCAATGATAGAATCGTGCATAGTGGAAAATGCCATAATATCATCAATGGGATACGAAAATGAAGAGTATAATAACAATGGTGGGAATGGAATCAAGATGGCAGATGAGAAACACCGCCAGACAGAGTGTCTCTGCAGAAAAGACAGATTCTAGCAGAAATTAGAAGAAAGAAGCCAAAAGAAGAGCATACAGTGGATGAGGGTCGGAAGGAGGGGTACCTGAGACCACGGGAGACTCTATAGGAGGAGGTTGCGGGGGAGAACTGGAAGCTGAGACCGCTGGAGCAGCCTGGAGACAAGTGGGAAGGGTAGGTTGATCGCTCAACTTTCCCCTCCCCTGCATCTGGGACTGCTGGTGGGCTCCCCAGCGGGTGGAGAGACCTGCGGACACTAGCCCAGAGATGGCCGCTGCCAGTGAGCTATGGTAAGCCAGTAGCGGACCCCGCACCAGGCTCCCAAACCCCTCGGGGCACCTCCATGTGCACAGACCCTAGCTGCGCGGCAGGTGCCTTTTGCCACATTCTCCCCTCCGCTGACCCTACCCGCGGCTACCCAGAGAGACAATATAGCCACGAGCCCGAAGCACCTCCAGGGAATGGGACCTTCCCATTTGGGGCCCTACAGCTGACTAAGAGGAACTCAGACTGTGAGCTCCCTACTGGCCAGCCCTCCCAGGTGCTGCTGGCACGGTGATCCCAGGAGAACGGGGCAGACCCTGAGGCTGAGAGACATAGACCCAGCTTGGGCTCCCTGTGGGTGAATTGGGACTGATACTCCTCTCCCAGGTGGGGATATAGTTTGAACTCTGGGGCCCAGAGGTCAGACCTGCAGACCAGATTCCGTGCACCGAGGTCTTGCATTGCCTGAGGCACAGAAGGGATATTTGTGAACAGCCTACGGAGGTGTGTGTGCCTTCGGGGGCAGATCAGCGTCCTAGAGGGCAACCCTCCCTTGAAAGGGAGGCCATGCGCCCAGCCCAGGTGGCATTTCTGCGCAGAGAACCTCCCCGCCGGCATCACAATCCGGGGAAGCCTGGTGGCCTGTGGTCTGGCCTGCTGGCAGAGGCCCAAGAGTAGCTGTGGAGTTGGGGAGGGTGGAAAGAAGCGAGGCCTGCTGCAGACTGTGGGTCTCAGACAGCCCCACCCGCACACACAGACTTTCTGGCTGAGTGGGACCATTCCAGCCCCGCCCTGACAGCTTTCCCTGGAAGCAGAGAACAGAACTTTGACCCCTGCTAACGACAGTGGAGGTGCCTGAGGGCTGCCTTACCCGATCCAGCTCCGCGCAGACTCTCTACTAGACTAGCCCTCACTGAAGGGGAGAAAAGGACACACCTGGAAGTCCCAGAGCCCCACCGACCACCTGAGACACTATGGTGCCTCTCTACGGGAACAAGAGCTGACAACAAGACACAAAAACAACAGCATAGCCTGTTCCTCCAAGCAAGCGCCACCTACTGACAGGGAGGACATCCTGCACATCCTTTTCACAGCACCTACTGACTCATTATACAGGGAGTGGTCAAATCTCACCCACAGACAGCACCTACCGGCTCAGAAACTAAACAAGGCGTGCGATTACCCAAAGGAAAACCTAAAGGAAAGAAACAACAACTGATCGACATGGGAAGAAATCAGTGAAGGAACTCTGGAAATATGAAGAACCAAATGGAAAACACACCCCCAAAGAGGACCACCAGCCCCCTAGACACAGACACAAACCAAAATCAGGCAACCTCCCCCTCTCCTTATTAGTATGAGGGAGGTTTATATAAGTTGGTGGAGAGCCTGTCTTAGGCTACGCGATGTGCTTCCGCGACCAGCACCCCAAATATAAGATCTGGCGATTAATGTGAAGGTGAGGCCTCTGTCTTAGGCTATGTAGGTGGCATCCAGCTCCGGCACTTCTGATTATGAAGTGTGCCCCCGGGCATGGACCTACAATATTCCCGTCATGGAGTTACCTCACAGCTGGCGGGGTGTGCACCTGGTACACAGCATCGCGATAATCCCGTCATGGGCGTCTCCACAGCTTTTGGAACCAACTGCGTTCCATGTCTGTGGCAAGGTCTGAGAAATTTAGACCTTCAGTGGGTGTGTTGGGAGACTCTGTATGGAGGTCTTCTCTGGAGCCTCTTTGTTCTAGCCGTTGGTAAAACACGGAGACCGATTTTTGTGTGGCTGGGTCTACCTGTGACTTGACAAAGTTGGTTAGTTTTTTGAATGCCCAAGGCCCAAAAGTGAGAAGCAACAGAAAGCCTACAAGCGCCCTAAGAACACTGGGAAGCAATGTGGATAGCCAGGGGATGTGGAACCAATTTTGATACCATGCCTTACTTTG